CCCAGAATTGCACGCAGTACTCCAACTGTGGTCTGACCAGCGCCCGATAGAGGGGAAGTATCACCTCCTTGGACCTATTCGTCATGCATCTGCTGATGCACGATAAAGTGCCATTGGCTTTTCTGATGGCTTCGTCACACTGCCGACTCATGTTCATCTTGGAGTCCACTAGGACTCCAAGATCCCTTTCCACTTCCGTGCCACCCAGCAGGTCATTCCCTAGGCTGTAGGTGTGCTGGACATATTTCCTCCCCAGGTGCAGCACTTTGCATTTGTCCTTGTTGAACTGCATTCTGTTGTTTTCTGCCCACTTGTCCAACCTGTCCAGATCTGCTTGCAGCTGTTCCCTGCCCTCCGGCGTGTCCACATCTCCCCATAGATCTGGTCTATTGGTTTCAAGACCAATTTCTATGAGCTGAGCATGTGGCCACTGGCTTCAGTAAGCAATGGTCAACTTTGGATTTGGCCAATGATTGTGTTTTTCTGATGACTTCCAGAGAAACTTTACTGATATTTTAAATGTTTTCCTTTTGCTTCCTTTAACTTAGAGGGAGGGAAGTATAAATTTAGTTGTTAAAAGGTTATAATAGTTTTGTTTAGCTCTTCTGAAGTATATGTAGTAGTCTAAATTCAAGTCCTTCAAAATCTACTGGCAGAGATTAGCAGCAATGTAAGCAAAGAAGTCTCATTCTTTTTCAATGGGAAACCGGTATAAAAATCTCTTGATCTCTTTTATGCATTTAAATCTAGAGCACTTCTGCTGTGTTCATATACAGGCCATGTCTTCCTCAAACTTTACCAGACCATTTTTTGTCTCTCCCCCCGCTTTCTCCCCCCAGATGAGGGAAACAGCATGGCTGTGATTCCCTGGAGAAATCAAACATCCATAATGGAATTCATCCTCTTTGGAATTGGGAAACATCCTGCACTAGACATTCCTCTCTTCTTGCTCTTTCTAGTGATCTACATCGTGACTATGGCTGGGAACATCCTCGTTGTTGTGCTGGTCCTAGTGGATCAGCACCTGCACACCCCTATGTACTTCTTCCTGGAAAACCTGTCCAGCTTGGAGACCTGTTACACCTCCACCATCTTCCCCAGGATGCTGGGCAGTCTTCTGACTGGGAATAGGAGCATTTCCATTAGGGCTTGCATGGTACAAAATTTCATTTATGGTTTCCTGGTGTGTGCTGAATGCTGCCTTCTTTCTGTGATGTCTTATGATCGATACTTAGCAATTTGTAAGCCACTTCATTATGCAGCTCAAATGAATGACAGGTTCTGCCTTTTCTTGGCAGCAGTGTCATGGATAAGTGGACTTTTAGGAAGTACTGTTATGGCAGTTTTAATTTCACAATTATCTTTTTGTGGTTCCAATGAGATTGATCATTTTATATGTGACACTTGCCCAATTGTAAAACTCTCCTGCAGTGAGGCACACCAAGTGGAACTTACAACTTTCACCTTAGCCTTCACTTTCACAATTTTCCCATTTCTTTTGACTTTAATGTCCTACATTTTCATTATCTCCACCATCCTGAGAATCCCTTTCACCACTGGGAAGCAGAAGGCATTTTCCACCTGCTCTTCTCACCTCATCGTGGTGACCCTCTTCTATGGGACTTTGATTTTTGTCTATATGTTACCAAAATCCCAAGCACTGGGTGATCTCCATAAAGTGTTCTCTCTCTCCGACACAGTTGTGACTCCGTTGGTCAACCCCTTGGTGTATAGCCTGAGAAACAAAATGGTAAAGAAGGCCCTAAGAAATGTGGTGGGTAAATTGTTCTTGTACATAGAAATCCAGAGAAAGTAAAGAATTCAATTATTTAAACCTTAAGTGCAACAGAGACAGTTCCTGCTCTTCAGAGCATTCCAGCTTGGGTAGCTTCTCTTTTTCTTTTTGTTTCATATCCCGTTAATATGATGTGAGGGTGGAAGAAAATAAGTAAATATGTGCTCTACTTGCATCAAGATCTGGTATGTAGGCTGGGAGAGGAAATTGCTGTCTCTAAAATATCTCTATTATCTCTACAGTCTTTGAAATCCTGTTCAATTTTTTTGTAATCGCTCAACTTACAGCAAAAATATATTGATTTCCTTCGTAGCTGAAGTAAACTGATGTTGTTCCCTGAACATTACCTGCAATATATCCCCAAATGATTTAACTTGACCTTATTCCATGTTACCTAAAAAGCTGTAAAATATTTTTAAAAATACTTGAAACACTTCCATTTCTGCTCTCCCAGAAAGACTCAGGGCATCTTCAAATAAAAACATTTCCAGGGGTGGAAGAAACACAAGAGGTATTTTTGCTTGCCTTGGCCAGGCTGCACTGGGGATGGGCTCATCTGGGGATGAAGACAATGGCAACATCAGGGCAGGAGAGTTGTTTCCCCCTCCCTGCCCCATCTCCCCGGAGCAGGAACAGGGAAGGGAATCCCTCCTGACCATTCCCACTGCTGCTTTCTCTGTTCCCAGCTGAACTCAGACCACGAGCAGCCTGGCTGGGGCAGACAGGAACAGTACTAAGTAGAGTAGTTGGGGGTGGGGAGCAGGGAAGAGGAGGGGAGGAAGAAGAGAACTAAAAAAAATAAATCCCCATAAGCTCCAGTGGGCCAGTTTAAAACAGAAGGTAGGTGCAACAATGGCACTGCACCCCTCCTGGATCCAGTCCTGTCATTGTGCATGGTCCTGTATCAAGACACTCTTGAAAAATCCTTTCCTTTGAAGGGCTTTTCATTTAAAGGTGGACATGACAGACAAATGAGAGCCTGAAGTGAAAGCACTTTGTCTAAGATTACACAGAAAACAAGTGGCAGAAGGATGAAGAGAGCCAAGCTGTTCTATGTCCCGAGGAGTTCCATTTTGATATCAGTGCAGATCAGGCTGCTTGAAAGTGTTAAAAGTTAGCATGGCCAAAAATGCTACAATAGGATGGCATTTGTGCGCACAGGCATTTCACCATTACCAACAGGTCTTGAATTTGTAATTTTCATCCCCTAAAATATAAATATTCCACACTCAGTAGTAGGTTGTTATAGTGGCTGGGATTATCATGGACCACAGCAGTAGATTACAATGGTAACTAAGGGTGCCTGTAAATATGCAGGGAGGCTGCTCTGATGCTCTGTAATTACAGAGCGTCAGCGCAGACTCAATTAATTAGCATGCTCCAGCAGTGTCTTTGGCAGAAGGCCACCTTTGTTTCTCCCCAAGAACTGTGCTGTGTGACCATTTGATTAGGATGGGCCCAGCAGAGGAGACACACCTTTACCCTATCTCTTTTGGTAACCTGAGCTGGATACATTCCTGAGAGAGGGGGGAAACCTGCTCCCTCTGCTTACGTGATTAGTATCACATACCTGGGTGAGGGGCTTCCTCCCTGGTGAGCTAGAGACTGCCAGTCTGCCCAGCAACTAGTGATGTATTTCAAATTTGTTTGCTGACAGCCAACAGGTGCTGGCCTCCATTGGACCAGGTAAATGAGGTCACAAGGGCTATATAAGTTAAGGACTGCCCAGGAGGAGGGGGCAGCAGCCATGAGGGAGACTCAGAGACAGAGAAGAGAGCTACCATCTGAAACTTGCTCTCTGTCTCAAAACTCATGATCAAGGAACTGCCTGCCTCCAGAGGGAATCTCCAACTGCCTCTGCATGATACTTGTGAGTAAGCTACCCGAGATCTAACTAGATAATTAGCTTGCAGTAACTCATATGCGTGATCAAAGTTCTACCCAGCCATGGGAGTTTGCTCAATGGGATTTCTCTGATATTGCTCTACCATGTACCCTATTCTAACACTACCCTCTGTAACCAATAAAGTTCTCGTTTGTACCTAGTGTGGGAGACTTATTGGGAGTGGGTCTAAATTATGCCTTGGGGTCTCCTTGGTTAAGCTGAATAAGGGAGACCACTACTTGTGCTTCTGACTGAGGGAAGGATCTCAACTTCTTGAAGTGAATCAAGTGTCCTTGAGGGCTACTAGGCCTGTGTTTCCCAGGGTGCGCAGAGCCAGAATCAGTTCAGAGCCCTGGGTGGTGGCAGTGGAACCCCCAGGCTAGTGGGTGTGCTCCAGGAAGGGGGTCAGCCAGACATGAGGTGCCCCCAGGGAGGCACTCGGAGCCTTGAAGGTGGTTGGGCGCAGTGGCTCAACACAGGAGCACCCCCTACTGGCCCGCCACAGTTTCCACATCTTGTGTATTAGTGTCCCTCCACTTCAGAGTGGTGGTGGGGCCTTGAGTTAATTTTGAAGTGGGATGCTGATGCTACAGTTGCTAATTAAAGCACTCTCCAGCGCACTTTAAAAATGTCCAAAATGTCTAGTTTACTTTCAATCAAGGTTCTTTAGGTTAATATGATATCTTTTATTAAACCACCTGAAATAGTTGGAAAAAATTCTTCTTAGCAAGCTTTAGGGTTTAAATATCCTTCGTCAGACTGAGGAAGCATCTGCAGGTTGTGTGAGTGCTGTTTGTGGACAGAAGGAATAGTAAAGAAGCTAGAGGCTGGGATGTGAGCAAGAAATACAGCCAGTGAAGATACTCGCATACCGTATGTATGAGCAAGAAACCCAGCCAGTGAAGATACTCGCATACCGTATGTAAGCAAATGGGCTGTAGAAAGTAAGCTATAAGACATATCAATAAATGATCTCCACAGCCCTCCTATTTTTTTAAAAAATATTGCATAAATTTAGCCTGCACCTACCTGGAAGCAACCTCTCTCCTGTGTTCAAATACAAACCCTACAAGCTCCAGAACTTTCAGCATATTAACTTGATAGGCCCCATCTTAAAGTTTAACAGGTGAGAGAGAGAGAGAAGCTATATAGACTAACTTTGGGTCAGGTGGGAGCCTGGAGTGCAACTTTCATTGAGGCAATGAAGCCAAAAGAGTGAGTCCTTAGCTCAATGATGAGGGTCCTTCTCTTGGGAGGGGATTTCTGGGATTCTGCCACCTATTGCTTTGGCCATTTTACTGTTTTAATCAATTTATGTTCAATGTAAAATGTAGAATTTTATTAAAAAATGCTACCCCTTTCCCTAACCCAGGCTTTTCAGTTCATTCTGTTTCTTTCCCTGAAGATACCAAGTGTTTCACTCCTTACTTCTTCCCCTTTGAGGTTACAAGTTTGGCTTTATTAAGGTTGATGCAACTAAATTGTTAACTTTTGAGTTCTTATTCATTTAAAATATTTGTAATCAGCTAACATGTCAAGGAAAAGGTCCATCTTCCAGCCAGGATGATAAATAATGAACCAAAGACATATTTCCAATTCAGAAAGAGATGCAAAGCAAACTGAAGCAAGAAAACCAGGGGCGTTTTTACATGTGGTTCCAAATGTGGTGCCGGGCACTTTAATTAGTGAGGTACACTAATTAAAAGCACCTGCATGGCCTGTGTACCAGCGTTGCTGCACGCTGCTGTGCTGAAAAATGGTGGTGGGGTGCCTTGAACTAAAGCACAGCAGGTGTGTTTTATTTCAAGGCGCCTTGCCGCCATTTTGTCAGTGCAGAAGTGTGCTGGGATGCTGATACACTGGACACACGAGGCTGCTGGAGCACGTCAATTTCCATGCTCCAGCAGATTCGATTAAGGGAGGCTGTTCCAAAGCAATGGATTTCCAGTGCATTGGAGCAGGCTCCCCACATGTGTGTAGGAGCCCCACTTGCACAAGCATAAATCATCAGGATCAGATGAGTTTCATTCCTCACAGACCAACGGTTAGCACAAAATGGTGTGAGAATATAGAACCTGTAACCTAGTCTGAAAAACACAAAAATAAGATGTGAGAGGTCAGTTTTGATTTCATTTCCCTGTTCTAAAAAAAGTTATCTACGTTTTAAAGAAAAAATCTTTTTTGGTCTTACTCACAATTAGGAAAAAGCCAGTGTCAGCAACACTGTTGTTCAGTGTTTCACTCATAGTTTCATAGTCCGTAGGGTCGGAAGGGACATTGACAGATCATCAAGTCCGACCCCCTGCCATGGCAGGAAGGAGGCACGGGGACGA